TGTGAGCACAGCTTTGAGCACGGCTGGGAGCTCTGTGCTTGCAGCTGCGCTGGCCTCACCACGCCCACCCACCCACCGGCCGCCAGTCTTGCTGCGATGGAGCCTGTGGGCCACAGGGGAGGGTCTGAGAGATGCTCCATGCACCTCATGGTGACAGGTCATTTGGTCATTTTGGTCGTGACGCCTCTTGGTCTTTTATTATGATGATAGCTAAAATATCAAAACAACTTAAGTTCCCTTCTGTGGATGAATGGATAAAGAAAATGAGATAAATATATCACATTTTCTTTTGTGTGTGTGTGTGTGTGTGTGTAAATTACTACTCAGCCATTAAAAATAAGAAAATCTTGCCCCTAGCTGGTTTGGCTCAGTGGATAGAGCATCAGCCTGCAGACTGAAGGGTTCCAGGTTCAATTCCGGTCAAGAGCACATGCCTGGGTTGTGGGCTTGATCCCCAGTAGAGGACATGCAGGAGGCAGCCAATCAAAGATTCTCTCTCATCATTGATGTTTCTATCTCTCTTTCCTTCTCCCTTCCTCTCTGAAATCAATAAAGATTTATTTTTAAAAAATAAAGAAAATCTTATCATTTATGACAGCATGGATGGACCTCTAGTGTTTAATGCTAAGTGAACTAAGAAGAAAGACAAATACTGCATGATTTCACTTATATGTGAAATCTAAAAAAAAACACACACACACACAAAATAATACAAAAACAAATTAATAGATACAGAGAACAGATTGGTGATTACCAGAGGGGAAGGGGACTAGAGAGAGGGTGAAACGGGAGAAAAGGATCAATTGTATAGTGATGTTGGTAACTAGACTTACAGTGGTGATATAAATATCAAATTATAATGTTGTACATCTGAAATATATATAATGTTGTATACCAATTTTACCAAAAAATGATTATAACTTTCTGTTTAAAAATAAAAATAATACAAATAATTTACAATGTCTGTTCAGGGCTGAATTACCATTCTATTTCTAAGCCTTTACCCTACTTTGACGTGCTAGGCAAGGCTGACCTCCTGCCAGAGCCATGTAGAGATGGACTCCGCCCAGACTTGGCAAGTGGGAAACCTGAGACGCTCTCTGCTCCTGTCCCTGTCATCCCCCAGATCCATGGCTGTCGGTTTCTTCCCGAAGACGAATGGAGAAAGGTGAATGGCAGTCTCATCTTTAAACACAACCAGGCCTTTAAAACAGAGAGTTCCCTTCTATGTTCCCAAGTTTGTCTATTTGATTTTACTATTTCCAGTAGCAAATTAATCATCTGAAATATGTTCTTGTGTTCAAAAAGAGAACTCTTGTCTGAACCTGTGGAAAATTTGAGGTCAGAGACCAGTACTCAGGTCAAATGCCATAATTATTTGTAACGAAGAAAAGAAAGGACAAAGCCTTCACCAAGAAACTTGGCCAGCCCTCCAGGAAATGGGCTGCCTTTAAAGAAGCTCACTGATGAGTAGGGCCCCCATCCACCCGCTGCTGTCTCCTCTCTCGTAGCCAGCAGGATGAAGGCTTGCTTCAGGTGGAAGAATTACACTGGCCTTCATTCAAGCCTCCTCAATCTCTTTAGGTGACAAGCCTTCAAAAGAAATCAAGACCCAGAAAGAGGGAGAGGCTTGCCTATTTTTTCCTCACCTTCAGAGGCTTTACTGCTTCTAGGATTTATCTTGAAGTTCCATTTTCAATCTCTTTCTCCCTGAACAAACCTATCAGTAATGGTCCAATTATATACACACCTGAACTCTATTTACAAAATGCGAGTATAAATTATCCAGCAAAACATATTAAAACCTTAAACAAATTTAAGGATCTTCATGGGAGACAACGAACCAGCCTATTTCTAAATACCAAATGCCAAGGAAAAGTCACTTCAAGTCGGTTCAGCCAAGAGCCTGGTGCTGCACTGAGCACTGAGGAGAGAGCAGACGGGGCGCTCTGCTGTTTTCCTAAGCAAACAAGGGTCAGCTATCAGCAATTAAATATGGTTCAACCTCACACAGAAACAAGTGCCACAAACCCTGGGTTCAAGGAGTTCATGGTTCAGGAGGAAAGATAAATATGTTAAGCAACCAAGATTGAAACAAGGACTTAAAAAAAGTATAAGCAATGTGCTGAGGGACTGACATGGAGATGCCCTAAGGAGGTAGAGATTTTCCTTTTTTTAAAAAAAAAAAAAGCATTAAAAAATATATATATATATACTCAGTGGCCAGATTATTATGACCACCCCATCAGTACTTTGTTGGGCCACCTTTTGCCTTCAATACTGCGGCGATTCTTCTTCGCATTGACTCCATGAGATATTGAAAGGTGATGTGAGGAATCTGACATCACGCCTGATGAATAGCACTGTCCAGTTCTGTGAGATTTGATGGTTGTGAACCAGCTGCCTGATGGCTCTTTCAACTTCGTCCCACAAATGCTCAATTGGATTAAGATCTGGTGATTATGGGGGCCACCTAAGCGAGGTAAAGTCTCCCTCATGTTCTTGAAACCATTCTTGCACAATACGAGCACAGTGGCATGGCGCATTGTCTTGTTGGAAGAAGCCATCTCCATTGGGATAAGCCATCAACATGATAGGATGAACTTGATCAGCAATGATACTTAGGTATGTTGTGCTATTCAGATGTTTATAATGGTCTGGCCCTCTAGCAACTTCAGCAAGAAATTATAGCTAATTTGCCTACAAACATCAGGTGGTCATAATAATCTAGCCACTCAGTATATATATTACAAAAGTATTGAAAAAGGAAAAAGTCCCTTATAGTATTACCCTCCAAAGGTAATTTATGTTATCAATACTTTAGTCTATTTCTAAACTTTTCCTATGCCTCTGGTTTATTTTTATTTTTTAACTAGTGGCCCAGTGCATGAAATTCGTGCACGGGGGGGTGGGTGTCTCTCAGCCCGGCCTGCATCCTCTCCAATCTGGGACCCCTCGAAGGATCTGAGACCCCTCGAAGGATGTCCTACTGCCGGTTTATAGGTATCGGGCTTAAACCGGCAGTCAGACATCCCTCTTGCAATCTGGGACTGCTGGTTCCTAACCACTCATCTGCCTGCCTGCCTGATTGCCCCTAATCACTCTGCCTGCTGGCCTGCTCACCCCCAACTGCCCCCCGTACCAGTGTGCTCGCCCCCAACTGCTCCCCCTGCTGGCCTGCTCGCCCCCAACTGCCCCCTGCTGGCCTGCTCACTCCAAACTGCCCCCCACAGTCCTGATCACCCCCAACTGATGGTCTGCTCACCCCCGA